CCGTCTTGGGGCTCTCTTGAGCCTCTCTTGGAGGCCTCTTGGGCCGTCTTGGAGCCATCTTGAGGCCTCGGATGGCCATCGGAAGCGAAATGGCGAGACGGCCAACAACATAGATTTCCTGGAGGTTCTGGAAGGATGTTGGCCTCTTCGGGGCCTCCTGGGGGAGCACTTTGGCCACTTGGAGCCGTCTTGGAGCGGTCTTGGGGCCTCTTGGAGCATCGTGGGAGCCATCTTGAGGCATCGTGGGATATCGTGAGCCATCTTGGAGGTCAGCTTGGGCTCTCCCAGGCGCTCCTGGGGTCATCTTAATCAGTGCCCCCCCACACGGGAGGCCACAATGTGGCAATTTGCTCAATGACTTTGGTACTCTCGCCGAGGCCTCTTGGAGCGTCTTGGGTGCCTCTGGGGGGCCTCTTGGGGCCTCTTCGGGGTCTCTTGGGAGCTTCTTGGGGGCATCCTGGTGGCCTCTTGGTGGCCTCTCGGAGCCTCCTGGCCACCTCTTGGGGCCCTCTTGGGGCACCCTTAGGAGCCTTGGGAGCGCTCTTGGGGCCACCCCGGAGGAGATCGATCAAAGAAGGGGGGTCCCTCATTTGCCCCGCTCCCCAGAAGGCCAACATGGGGTCAAAACCTTAGTACAAACAGCGATGTTGGCTTCATCGCCAAGGCCGTTCTTGAACGCCCCAACTACACGCGAACCCCCTCGTCCATGACCACGACCACGGGAAGCGGGTAGGGGGAGGGGTCAAGACCCCCCCCCGCCCGCAAGCCGTCTCGCTCACTCCCACCCGCCCTCCCAACACAGACGTGGCACCAGAGTCTGGCCCGAGCCTCAGCATATTCAGCAGTCGTCGTTGGATGGGTAGCTTCTGGGGGCGAATCCGCCGCCGCCACCGCCGCCTCCGCCGCCGCCGCCGCCGCCGCTGCCGCCGCCGCCGCCGCCGCAGCCGCTGCCGCTACCGCCACCGCCGCCGCCGCCACCGCCGCCACCACCGCCACCGCCGCCGCCGCCGCCGCCGCAGCCGCCGCAGCCGCCGCCGCCGCCGCCGCCGCCGCCGCAGCCGCCGCCGCAGCCGCCTCCGCCAAGTGTACTCCGTGTTGTTTTTTGACAGGGATGGTGTGGGGGGGGGGGGGCGCATCGGGTTGGCTGCGCATGTTCAGAATTTGGAGGCAGAGTGTGTTTTGTATTGTTTTGTACAAGGGATTGTGGGGGGGTGTCGTCATGGACCTGGGTTGGCCCCAGTCGCCTGGGGGAGGGGGTGTTTATTGATAGGGAACAGTGATAAACCCCTCCTCGAAGGGGAAGAGGGAGGGGTGGAAGAGGAAGCTCCCTAAACCACCTTAGGCCCTAAAGGGATGGTGGGATTCCAACACCCGATCGAGAACGAGGCCAGGGCCTCGGAAACCGTGCAACAGACATCGACAGGGAAACATCAACGAATAGATGTGGCTCTGCGGCAGGCGCCGCATCGGCGAAGCAGGACAAGCCAAGATCACGATCACGCAAGACTCATGTCTCAGGTTCCTTCTTCTCCTCTCTCCCCTGCTCCTACTCCTCCTCCCCTTCTCCCCGCATCGTCCTCCCCCTCCCACTCATCCGGATCCTACAATTAAGTCGGGCGGGTCCCCATACAAGGGGATTTTGGGCGAAAACTTAAACATCAAAAAAGCCCCAAACCAATTAAATAATCAAAAACAATTTAAAAAAACGTCCCAATACTTGTTCTTGCTATTATTATTGATATTCCCCGTGTAGAGAGACACGCCCGACTTGATCCTACAGCTCCCTCTCCTCGTCCCTGCCTCGGGGGCCACAGGCTGGGGCAAGCCACGCCTTGGCCCACTCTCCGACGTTGTCGCTCGTTGCCTCGAGGCCACTTGTTCCAAAGGCAGGCCAGTCTGCATACTCGCTCGACTTGATACCCAACTTCCCATTCCACCCTCCGGTCCACCAGAACGGGGTCGCTCCTTTTCTCGGTCAACGTCGCTGCCGAACCCTTCCTCTTCATCCTCTTTCACCTCCTGCGCCTACGTCTCCTCTTAGTGTGACCTTCTCCGCTCTCACTGCTGCTCCTCCTCCTCCTCCTCCTCCTCCTCCTCCTCCTCTTCCTCTGATTATCTGTTCATCCTCGTCGTCATCCTCTTGATCCTGCTCCCTTCAAAGAGGGCCTCCAGGAAGACCCGAAAAGGCCAAAATCATTGATTCACAATTGGTGTTTAAAGGATTGTCGCATTTGATTTGTTTCTGCCTTCCGACGGCCCGAGACGGCCCAAATGCCCCCAAAGATCGCCCAAGAGGCCCAAGACACGGCCCCAAGAGGCCCCCAAGACGGCCCAAGAGGTCTCCAAGACGCTCAAGATGGCCTTCAAGACGGCCGAAGAGCCCTCCAAGACGTCCTCCACGGTTCTGCTTGTGGTTCATTCGCATAGATAATATTATAATAATGTTAATGCAACCCGAACCGCAACTGTGAGCAGAACCAGTTCTTGTCACAATGCTGGTTTAGATAGAGTGGCAGAAATAATATAATAGTACTAATGCACCAGAACCACAACTGTGACGAGGACCAGTTCTGGTCACGGTTCTGGTTGTGGCTCATTCGCATTTATAATATTAGAATAATATGTTTAATGCAACCCGAACCTCAACTGTGACCCGGCCTGGTCAGGGTCACAATTCTGGTTGTGGCTCATTCGCAATAATAATTTTATAATGATATTACTGCAACCCGAACCACAACCGTGACCAGGACCAATGCTGGTCACAGTTCTGTTTCGGGTGGGTTCGCATTAATACTATCATAATAATGTTACCGCAACCCGAACCGCAACTGTGACCAGGACCAGTTCTGGTCACGATTATGGTTGTGGTTCATTCGCGTGGATACTATTGTAGTAATATTCGTGCAACCCGAACCGCGACTGTGACTAGGACTAGTCCTGGTCATGGTTCTGGTTTGGCCACATTATCCTGAATGGATTCGAATAGTGCGTCCTGACCAGAACCAGAACCAAGACTGGGCATGGTTACAGTCATGGTTGCGGTGCAATCGTACTATTCTATTAATAGTATTGCACCGAGACCATGATTAGAACTGATCCAGGTACTGTTAGAGTCGCATTAACCTATAACCATTGAATAATGCGCATCGTAACTGTGACTAGTTCTGGTCGGAGTCTGGTTCTGCATTATTCGAATTATCGAATGCTGCCAACCTCTACCAGAACCAACACTGCGCGGAGCGCACAAAAGGCGGCGCCGTAGGCCCCACCAGGGGGGCCTGAGCGAAGATCCAAGACGTCCAAGCGGAGATCTGTACATTTATGCCTGTGCGGTTTCTTGTTTCGTCGAAGTGGGGAGAGGAGATGGAATAGGACAAAGAGGAATGGAAAGGGCTGCGACCACGGCTTTGACGCCGGGTTCCCTCGTGCAGAGGGGCCCTGGGACACACAAATAAATACACACAAATAACAGGATTCCCCCATATTTTCCCACATGTTCTGAGTGTTTGTCTTCCCCCCCCACTTCCCGTATTTTCTCATACTTTCTGGGGAATCGACGATTCATTGTGTCTGTGTGTTTTTTCCCCTCCTGATCGTGTCCCTCGGGATGAAGGCCAATGCAGGCCGTCCTCGTTGTCTCTTCCCCGGGCCAGGTCGCAGTCTCTGCCTCTGCCTGGCAGGAGCACTCGACCCCATGCCCTTCCGCCGCCCTGCTGCTGGGCTTGGGCCGCGTCGAGACCGTTGTTCTGCCCGAGTCGAGCGCGGCCTAGCTGCACGAGGCTGGCCACGCTCTCCGACGCTGCGGGCCAGTGCGTCCCGACAGCATGTCGAAGCAAACGAGAGTGGACAAAAAGGAGGCAGTCTTAGGTCGGGCATGTCCCCCCTACAGGCGGATCTTGGACGGAAGAAAAATACTCAAAAAAATGCCCCCAACTAGTCAAACAGATTTCAAACATCGTCCCCAGACTATTCTTTAACTACTTTGGAAGATTCCTCCTGCAGAAGAGTTGAGGATGCCACGGTGCCACGACAACGGACACCCTGACAGTCCTATCATTGAATCTAAACTGTGTTTAAAATGTCGGAAACATGTTTAAACATGTTTTAAACCTAGCTTTACATGTTTAAAACATGTTTAGTACATCCTTAAGACATCTGGAAATTACTTGGCAACATGCTTCCTCTCCATGGATCGTCCTCCACAAACTTAGAGGCAATTTTCAAGAGGAACGCACGTGCCGTGCCGCGGAAGAGCGCGGCGCCTCCGGGGCCGGCCCAGGAGCCCAGGAGCCCAGGGGTCCACGAGCTAACGCTGCTGCGCCGGAAGCGCCGACGCTCGGTGGGAGGGGAATGGATCCCGCACGCCTCGATCATGCGAGGCAGGGATTTATCCATATCCACCGCCTGGGAACCGACGTCCTGGTGCCCCAGCGGGCGGTGGATATTATGGATACATGTTGGCCCCCGGGGGCCCGAACCTATCCATATACACCGCCTGCCGAGGTCCCCGAAAATCGTTTCTCCAGGCGGTGGTCATGTATACATTCCCGCCCTGGAGATCATCTCATTGTTGCTCTGGCTTTCCTTCCTCTTGCACTGTGCTCGTGTCCTGTCGTGCGCCGTTTCCTCGAGGCTTTCTCGTGCGCGGCACGCCGTGACTGCCCGTGCGTCCTGCAACTGCGCCGAGCTGTCTCTACCGTGGGGAGGAGGCCCTTGGTGGCGAAAGTGGCAGGGCAGAACCTTCTTGCGCCACCCGCGAGGCCACCACCCAAGGGCGGGCTGCTGCCAGCTGCAGGCCAGCTTCAGGGTAGTTTCCGCTTGCGTTTCGCTTGTTTGGGCTGGGAGGCGGTGGTGCTCTGGAGGCTGGTTGCCCCTCATACCATTGCCTCTACGAGCTCCGCTCCTGCCTGCCTGCTGCAGCCTGCGCGGGCGCGGGAGTCCTCACGCAACTTGCCCAGGGGAAAACCAAAAAAAACGATCCTGGACCCCGCTGTACTCCATCATCTTGAAGAGGCCAACGCTGAAAGGCTGGCTGTAGAGGCCAGTCGAGATGCCAGACAAGGCGTCCACAACCCTCGGGCGGGCTCGGAGCGGGGGGGAAGGCGACCGGCGGCACCACATTTGGACAAGAGCTGACGGGAGACAAAGACGAAGGCAAGCAAAGGCGAAGAGATGAACACGCCACTGTAGAGGACAAGTCCGACAACTGTGGCGCAAGCCCAGAGTTCGCTACGGGCAACGCTGAAGGCTAAGCCAAGGGTGTGGCAAAGGGTCCAGCGCCGACCTAAGACATCCGCGCGGATCTCCAAACATATGCTGTTTGTCAGACCTATCCTTTCGTTTCGAGAAGCAAGAAGAAAGCTCTGGCTCGAAGGTGGCAACCGCCAGAAATCAATGGCATGTCAACTTCGGACTGCTGGCGCGCGTAAAGCGCCTTGGACGGTGTCAGCGCTGCCCTCACAAGATCCCTCCAGGACGACGCGAAGGTACTGAAACACCAGCGGCGGATTCGACATGAGTCACCCAATCGCCTTTGCGTCAAAATAAACGACCAAGCACACAATAATCCTGTACACGACAGGGGGTGGGAGGAGGCGGAGGAGAAGGTGCCAGGGGAGGGCAGGACAAAGCCAATTCCACGAAACAGCTTTCAAATTGTGTGGGGGTGGATCCGAGGCCCAGCCGCCGCCTGCTGACGATGATACACAAGAACGTTGACAGCAGCAGACTGATCAAACGATCTCGCTTGGTCAGCACATCCCCCGAATCACTCTGATCCGAGCCAGCACGTTCCCCCCCTCGGTGCCAGAGGCTCCCTCCTCGTTGCTCTCCTACTCCATCGTCCCTCCTCCTGCTCCTCCGCCTCCTCCTCCTCCTCCGCCTCCTCCTCCTCTCCTCCCTCCCTCTTTCCTCCTGGTAAGATCGGCCTCGGAGCCAAATCCCCCCTCGGCACGAAGGGCGGCGGTCTGGATAAGATCTCCGCTGTCACCACTGCCCAGTCTCACGGCTCGTGTGATTCCTCTGCGCATCTGCACATGCATCTTGGCACGAGGACCACCTCAATGCCGTGGCCAGCAGGCCTTCCCTCCTAGACACCTCACTCCTCAACTCCTTTCCTGCCTCGCCCCTCGTCCTCGTCCCGCGCGCGCCTTCGTCGCGCCCCCGCCCCTCGCTCCCTCGTCCCCTTTGCCTCCGGCCCACCCCATGCGTGCGGGGGGGGGGTGGGAGGAGAAGGGAGGCGGCGGGGGGGGAGGACAAGGTGTGGAAAAGGGGAGGAGCGATGGCGGAGAGGGGATCTACGATCGCATCAGTGCGGCCCGTCGGGCTTAAAATCAATCCTTGCATCGAAGGCCCACACCGCCTGCTTCTGCATGAACCAACGCCCAACTCAATGATGCCACGTCGCATATTCCCGTGATCGTGTGTATATATATATATACACACACATCGGATTCCACGTGAGGCTCGTGCCTGGTCTCGATGCGCCATCGCTGCGTGCGGACTCGCTCCATTAGCGAGGAAACGAAGGACGAAAGCTGTTCTCGAGACAACGGTGGATGACCCTGCGCGCTCCTGTAGATGTGAGGACCCCCCCCCCCCCGACAGCCCTTTGTGAGCCTGCCAAATGCCAGGGCCTGCGACTCGACTGGCTGCGACGCGCCTCAGGTGACCATGTCTAAAACTTGACTGGGCTTTCAGACGCACTGGAGGAGCACCGTAGCTCGACTTGAGCAAGAAAGGTTGCACTGCGGACGCGCTGCGCCTTTTGGACTTACGCAAAACTTTGGGGCAATGACGAATCGTCTTCCAGCTGCACCAGCGGAAACATAATCATACAAACTCCAATACTGTACTCTTGAAGTAGCCCCCACGCCCCTATGAACACCAAGAACAATGGTTAGCCAGTATCAACTGTTTGAACATCCGCCTGACAATTCCACATCAAAACGATCTTATACCCACGACGTCTTTCCTCAGAGCGGAATGCTCGAACCCTGGCGAAGCAAGGCGCGGTGAGTCCACGCGCTCAAGACGGCAACCTGACCTGTTTCAATTCTCTCGCCGTCACAAGCCGCATCATGACACGCATACGCAAAAACAACGTTGAAGTGCTTATACAGGAATATACAAATACGATCCCGCATACATTGACACACACACACACCAACTACATATACATCTAGACATGAAAAAACACTTCGTATGCGCATACACATACCTATAACTTCACACACACACACCTGTACACATGCACTTCCGTATGCAGGCACATGTGCATATACAAATACACGCAACGGATTTGCACATGTGCATAGATTCGCACGCATGTGCAGACACATGCTCATACGTACATGCATGTAACGAATGGAAGACATCGTGGACATGGGAGCCCCCCGGATACATGCCGTTCATCCTGCCGTTGTGTGACGGTGCAGGGACGCAGGACCCCTTTCCATGATAACCCTGGTGCCGACTGGACGCATGCCCTGACATTCGTAGTCTCCAGCGGCAAATCCGTACGGTAGCCGTTGGTAGAAAGATGGTTCGCCAAACCGAGTCATTACCATCACGCTTGATTCGCTGGCAAGTTCCCATTGTATTGGCATCGCGCGAGACCAGCACCAAGCTTATGGGCTTGTTTCCCCTGGCCAAAATCATTCGCCTGCTGATGGGGGTCAGGCTGGGGAAACATGTTTCCTAAGACTTATACTGGCCTGAGCGAGGAGTTGTGAAAATAATTGCGAAAGACCAAGAAGAACTAGTCAGTTGTTACCCATTGATACAAATACGGCCCCGCAAGATCAAACGCCTTGAGTTTATCTTTTCCCGAGACCCACAACGCTGACCCCCATTAGCAGGCGAAGGCGACATACTCGCCCAGGGTGCCCAGCTCCCGCGCAAGCCTGAACACATTGACAGTATTTTCGAGCGCGCCGTAGCACCCGATTGAACACCGCTTCTTCAGAGCGCATCTGTTCACCTTGCGAAAGCGGTGTCCGAACGATATCCCTGTTCTTGGACAATGCTTCACTCCGAAGCGGTCGTGCCGTACAAGTGAAACAATTTTTGGCCGAGAGTCCTCCGCTCGGACATCGATTCTTGACTGCAATGTTGCTTTGCTGCAGTAAACCCTCCCTCCAAGTACCCTTCACAGGTCCCTAGAAGAATCCTCGGTCGTGCCAAGACACCGTGTTCATAACTTCATCGTTTGAAGGACCTCAACGCTGCGAGATCTAAATTATTGATGCGCCTCGGCAATCCCAAGCCGTGCGAGAACACCACCCCCTGGGGTTGCAACAACGCGAATAATCTTGCCTTCTGCGTCCTGACAACCCTCAACAGCGCTTGGATACCATTGCTAGGGCCCAGGACTTCAGCCACACGAATCATTGATACGGCTGCAAGCTTTGAGACGAATGTCCGGGGCGCTAAGGCGAGAGCCACATTTTGAGAAGGTGCCGCTATCCATCCTTCAAGAAGTTACAACACATTGCGAATAATGCGCGCGGCGCTAAGCCGAGGGCCCAATCTTTAAATCCAACCGCATTCCACCATTGAAGCTGCTGCGTGCTCTTTAACACGAATGTGCGCGTCGCTATAGCGAGAGCCACATGCTGAACATGGCCCACCACCTAGTCTGAAAACTGTTGCAAGTTGTCAAAACGAATGCGAGCGGCACTAAGGCGAGAGTCAAATGTTTCAAACCACCCGCCCTTCATCCATGAAAGCACTGCAAGCTTTTCAGATGAATGTGCGCGGCATTCAAAAACGAGACCCACATGTTGAAGACCACCCGCCCTCCATCCGTGAGCCTGTTGCAGTTTCATGCCTCAGGATCTTGAACGGTGAGGAGGTCTCAGGCGCAACGGCCAGCCCGCCCTGCTAATACTTCCGGGCGTGTGACAAGCGACAAGGATCGGCGGCGAGCGAGGGGGGGGAGTCAGAAGGAAAAGGCCTTCTCAGAAGGCTCGGAAGTCCCCCGGCCTTCTGAGGAGGTTGTCCAAGCCTTCTCCGAAGACGCACGGAACATTTCTCAGAAGGCGCGAGGGCTTCTGAGAGGTGACGCCGCCTGCTGAGAAGGCCTTCTCCTTCTCACTTCCCCCCTCGCTCGCCGCCGAGAGGAGGAGGGGGAGAAGGGTGCAGGAGGAGGATAGAGGATCGAGGCTCGCCGCCGTAAGGAGGAGAAGGAAAGGGGATCGACGAGGGAGATCTTTCCCCTACTTGGGGAGGGTGCGCCGCGGCGGCGGCAGCCCGCGGTCGTCGGCGCCCGGGAAAGGGGGCGGGGGGTCTGGTCTGGCGAAAAAGGGGGGAGCGGGCAGCTCGTAAAGAGGGGGGTAGCAGTCATTAAGGGGTGGGGGGGTCCCGTCTGGCGAAACGGGGAAAGGGGCGGGGCAGTTCGTAAAGGAGAGGGGGTATTCGTAAAGGGGGGGTGTAGTTCGTAAGGGGGGGATATCGACCCCCCTTAACGTTCACTCAAACTGATTGACAGATGCATTCTCGGGGGATTCGCCGTGATATGACAATATCGGCCCCACCCCCCCTAGACAAGCGCGCTCCACTACTAGAAGCTGCCTGGATGGGGTCGGAGTAGATGGGGCCGGAGGATCGCGCTGCATCGCGGATACATCGGCGATGCATCGTAGATGCATCGGTGATCCACCAGGGATGCATCCTCGAAGTCGGCGTTGCATCGGCGACGTCGGCGTGAAGCAAATCGGCCCCACATCGAGCCGCATCGGCGATGCATCGGCGATGCGGCGCGATCCTCCGAACCCTTCTACTCCGATCCCACCTAGGAGTCTTAGATACTCGCAAAGTAACTACTCGCAGATGGCCTGGATCCGCCGCGGGGCATTTACCACTCATTACGCCGAGGAAGACAAGTGCTTTTCGGACGTTTGCGGGTAGGCACTCTGCGAGAAGTGGGACGCGCTCGGTGACCCACGTTCACGCTGGGGGAGGAACCGCAGACCCGTATCGATAGCGATCCAGCTCAGGCAGCTGATTCACCGGGCGCCTCCCAGCGCTAAAGGCGCCGGTGTGTCCAGGAGAGCGCCGAGCGGCGGGGCCGAAGGCAGCTGCATGCAGCAGGTTCCGTGGCACCCCCTGTCCCTAACTTTGGGTCGGGCATGCCCTCCGACAGGCGGATCTTGGACGAAAAATGACACACAGTCAGCACATGCTCTAAGAGAGTCGAAACATATCCGAACAATCATCCACGGACTAGTTTTACATGTTTGACAATTGTTGAACATTCCTCCTGCAGAGACCCACGCCCGACTTAACCCTAGCTTCCCCGCCCTGTCTGAGGGGGCCCATGGACACACAAATAAATATACAAATAACCAGATTCCCGATAAATTTCCTATATTTTCTGTGTTTAACGTCTTCTCCCCCACTTCGCATACTTTTCCATATTTTCATGGGAGTCGACGATGAATTGTGTCTGGATGTTTCCCCCTCCTGACTGTCGTCCGACCTGGGGGGGGGGCGGGGCGGGGCGGGCGCCGCCTCTGGTCGGCCGTGGCGGCGGACCCCTCCTCGGCCGGCCAGTCGTGGTGGTCGTCGTCGTCGTCGGCGTCGTCGTCGTCGTGGCCGCCGTCGTCCTCGTAGCCGTCGACGTCGTTGTAGTCTTAGGTCGGGCATGTCCCCTTACGGGGGGGCTGGGGACTAAAAGTAAGACTTGGTCAGAAAATGCTCCAATATAGTCAAAACGTAATGAAAAAACGTCCCCATGGTATCTTGTATTTTTGTTTGAACATTCCTCCTGTAGAGGGACAGGCCCGACTTAATTCTAGTCAGTCGTCCTGGTCGTCGTCGTAGTCGTGGTCGTCGTCGGGGTCGTGGTCGTGGTCGTGCTTGTCCTCCTCCTTCTCGTCCTCACATTCTTCGCTGATGCCCATTCACCTCGGTTAGCTGTGTCGCGCGACGATGGATGTCTCGAGTGTGCTGATTTGTGTATACATACACTGGAATCACGCGCACGCTTCGCGCGCATGGCAGCACCGACGCAGACGGCTCGGCGACACCGACTGGAATGGCTCATTGAGCCCACCCCAGGCCTCCGCCTCCTCCTTCTGTTCCTGCTCCTCCTCCTCCCCCACCTCCTCCTCTCCTCCTCCTCCTCTTCCTCCTCCTCCTCCGCCTCCTGCTGCTCCTCCTCCTCCTCCTCCTCCACTACTTCACCGCTGCAGACCGCTCATTTCTGACAACAACAATGTTCTGCCATTTCTGCTGCCTCCGGAGTCCCGTTTCGGGCCCCAGGGCTGTGACACGACGACCAGGGAAGAACACAAACAGCCCCTGGGGAGGGGTTCGAATGCTGCGGGGGCCCATGCCTCGAACTTGTGCGGTCCAACACCCAGATAGCGGAGCACCAGAAGGCCGTCCAAAGGCCTGTCGAGGGAGCTCTGAAGCTCCTGGAATGAGCTTCCGAAGGAACTTCTGGAGAGCTTCTGGGCAAACGTAGTGGGAAACGCTTGGAGAAGGCCTGCCAAGACACTCTGCAAACTCAGGCAGGGCGCGCCGAAGAGTTTTAACGACAGCCGGGACGAGCTCCCGGGCTACCATGCGGCGCCGACGTCTACTTCTACAACTCTACAGCGCTCCAAGGAGCTATCCGGGAACAAATCGAGATCCTGAGTTCTCCACCTCACACTCGTCCTCCACCTCCCAAAGCATTTCCGTCCCCGCGGTCTCTGAGGGGGCCCTGGGACACACAAATAGATAGACACTGATGACAGGATTCCCCATATTTTCCAATTTTCATATTTTTTTGGGGGGGATTTTCGTCTCCCCCCCCCCCGCGTCCCATATGTTCACATGTCTTCCTAGGAATCGACGATTCATTGTGTCTGTGTGTTTTTTCCCCTCCCGAGTCTCGACACGCTGCAAACTCGCAGTGAACCCCGGGCCCTCGCCCCCCGCCCTGGACCTGGCGCGCCCTGCGCCTGCCCCAGGACGCGTTGGCTCACTGAAGCGCTCCAGCAGCAAATCCTGGCGGCGCGCACCAAGTTGAAGGGGAACTGGGACACACAAATAAATACACACAAATAAAAATATCCCCCATATTTTCCAATATTTTCCCATATTTTCTGGGAATCGCCGCTTAATTGTGTCTGTGTGTTTTTTCTCTCCTGACAAGTGTTTGGCAGGAGGAGCCAGGCAGCCGCCCTTCGAGGGAGCAGCGCCCACGGCTGCTGCGGAAGGCCTCCCAGATGGGGTCCGAGCCGGCGGGGTCGGAGGATCGCGCCGCATCGTCGGTGTATCGCCGATGCGTCGGCGGCGTCGGAGAAGAGAAACTCGGGCTCCACATCAAGCCGCATCGCCGAGGCGTCGGCGGTGCGGCCCGATCCTCCGACCGCATCCTCTCCGACCCTGTCTGGGAGACGTCGAGCTGCAGGGCCGAGATCACGCGACGGGAGGGTGCGGCGAGCGGGGAAGGACGAGGGGATGAAGGAAGAACACGCAGCAGAAACCTACACTGTCGGAGCTCCGCGCCAATTTCTTGGATCGGTGCTGAACCCCCCGCCCTGGTGCGCGGAGCGCGCCGGGGGCGGCGCCGAAGGCGCCGCCAGGGGGGCCCAGCGCAGATCCAAGAAATCTTCGCAGATCCTAAACAAGTTGTTGTTTGCGCTGTGCTTCTTCTTCGAGTGGAGCGATGGGACGCACAAGGACATACTAGTACCACATGTTCTCCTTGCAGGCGCGCGTCCGACCCAAACATATAGTATACATATCCCCATCATGTAGTATATCGCTTCCCGAGCGGTGTGGCCAGAACGCGCCCGCCACGACGCATATACTATAAGATCTCTCGGTGCGCGCGTCGCCCCTGAGGGGGCGACGCACATATAGTATTAGGTCGGGCCTGTCCCTCTACTGGGGGATTCTGAAGGAAAAATCCAATTGACCAAACAACTATTCAAGAGATGACCAAACATACTCAAACAATAGTCCTCCTGTAGAGGGACAGGCCCGACTCAAATATAGTAGAAGTATGTTGGGGTGACGCCGACGCGAGGCGGCACAGAGGGGCGACTACAGGCGGATCGGACGACCTGTCGGCCGCGCGGCCGAGGCCCTCGCCATGGCCTCCAGGATCTGCGCCGGGGAGACGCCCTTCGCCCACTGCATCACGGCCTGGATCGGCCCCCTCCTCGTCCTCCTCGTCCTCCGCCTCCTTCTTCCCCTCCTCGTCCTGCTCCTCCTCTTCCTCTTCCTCCTCCTCCTCATCTTCCTGTTCCTCTTCCTCCTCCTCCTCCTCCTCCTCCTCCTCCTCCTCCTCGCCTTGCTCCTCCTCATCCTGGCCCTTCTCCCCATCCTTCTCCTCCTCCTCATCCTCCTCCTCCTCCTCCTCCTCCTCCTCCTCCTCCTCCTCCTCCCCCTCCTTCTCCTTCTCCTCCTCCTCCTCCTCCTCCTCCTCCTCCTACTCCTCTTTCCTCTCCTCCTCCTTCTCCTTGGCGGCGCCAACCGGGTGGTTGCGCGAGGAGGCGGGGCTGCCAAGAAGGCGGCGGGGCTTCTGAGAAGGCGGCGGAGGTGTGCAAGAAGGCGCCTCAGAAGCCGGCAGGGCTGCTGAGGAAGCCCCGCTGCATCCTTAGAAGCCCCGCCGATTCTCTGAAGGCCGTCCCCTCTTTGCCACCCCCTTCTGGGCGCCACCAGTCCTCCTCCTGCGAAGAAAGGGGGGCTCGGGGTTTGACAGAACCCCCTTTCGTAAAACGGGGTTCAGTGGAAACGGCCTCGGGCCCAAACCTGGCGGGCGCAAGCTTAGAAAACGACGGCCGCGGCGCCCTCCCGAGAACCGAACGCGGGGACAATTCACCAATCCGCGTGGCCGGGTGGGGGCTCTGTCCACCCCCGAAGGGCAGTGCGCGAATCATCGTGCGAGCGATGGCCGAAGACCGTTCGTAGGCCGAGCGCACGAGCGAGCCGAGCAGGGCCGAAGACGCCGGGATCCGCCACCGTGCCTCCGGGCACGGAGGAGGGTGCGCGCCGCCGTGACCCGCTGCCGCCCGCTGCCGCCTGCCTGCCCTCGCCGCCTCCCCTTCTGACTACCTGCCGGGCCACCCCAGCCCAACCCGAAGACCCGAATTTCGAGTTGGGGGGGGGGGGTATGGGCTCCATATGTGTTTTTGTCGGTGTTCCCTGGGCCCCCCCGTACTGGAAATGGAGGGCACGTTGAGGCCTTCAGGTTGGGTCGAGGTGGTTTGGTGGGTGGAGGCCTTCCCTGTCGTCGTCGGCCGTTTCCTCGCCTGCCGCTGGGGCCCCTCCGCGATGGTAAAATCATCCCAGTGCGACCCTACCTAGGAGTTGGAGCCCCTAGGAAAGCAGCATTCGTAGTAGCAGTAAAACTAAGCTAAAGCTGAGCTAAAGCTAAGCTGAAGCTAAGCTACAGCTAAGCTGAAGCTAAGCTACAGCTAAACTAAAGCTAAGCTAAAGCTAAGCTAAAGCTAAGCTAAATATAACCTAAAGCTAAGCTAAAGCTAAGGTAAATCTAAGGTAAATATGCCCTAAAGCTCTAAGGTAAAGCTAAGCTAAATCTAAGCTAACGCTAAGCTAAACCTAAGCTACAGCTAAGCTAAATCTAAGCTAAAGCTAAGCTAAAGCTAAGCTAAAGCTAAGCTAAAGCTAAGCTAAAGATAAGCTAAAGCTAAGCTAAAGCTAAGCTAAAGCTAAGCTAAAGCTAAGCTAAAGCTAAGCTAAAGCTACGCTAAAGCTCAGCTCAAGCTAAAGCTAAAGCTAATGTTAATGCTAAAGCTAAAGCTTCCAGGGACCTGGGGGAACCGCGGGGCGGATCCTGGGGGAACCGCCCGGGGCGGGGAGCACTGCCCGGCCCTTTAAGCATACAGGGTAAGAACCCTTCTAGGCAGAGCCTAGATAGGGAAAAACGTTTCCTCGGATCCTCTGCCCCATCCATGTCATGCGCGCCCCGTCCCCGGAGGAAAATTTCCCGCCCCATCGCGTTCCTCAAAGGCTCCATGGGGCTGCGGACCGAGGCTGCGGGCTGCGGACTGAGGATCCCGGGGCCCTGGAGCTTCAGTCCTCAGTCCCGGGGCGTCTTCGAGGGGCCCCGGCACGGACTTCCGAGATCCCTCGGGACCTCCCCGCGCGCGCACCATGGGCTCCGGAAGAGTATTCTAGCAGGACTTCTCTTTCCGGCCCCGAGAGGAGGACCCGACGCCGGGCACGAGGCCCCCAAGACGGTCCAAAAGGGCCCCGAGTCGCCGAGCGATCGTTCCAAGACGCCCATGACGGCCGCAAGGTCGCCCAAGAGGCCTCTAGGACGCCCCCAGAGGCTGCCAGGAGGCCTCCCAAGAGGGCCCCAAGAGGCAAACAAATGGTTGAAGGATTCGGGCGTTCTCGCCTTTTCGGCGTTCCGACGCTTCAAGACGGCCCAAGAGGCCCCCAAGACCACCCCAAAACGGCCAAAGATGTCTCCAAGAGAGCCCCAAGACGGCCTCAGATCGTCCCAAGACGGCTCAAGAGGCGCCCAAGACGGCCCAAGAGGGCCCCGAGACGGCCCCAAAAGGGGCCCACGAGAGGGATAACGAACCAGAAACCGAGACTCCTGCCCAAGAGGCCCCAAGGAGGCCCCAAGAGGCGCCCAACGGCCCCGACAGGCCCCCAAGAGGCTACCAAGAGCCCCCCAAGAGGCCCAAAAGAGACCACAGAACGGCCCCCAAGAGGCCTCCAAACTGCCTCCAAGAGGCCCCCGAGAGGCCCCCCGCGAGATCCCAACGAACACTGAATAGGCTTCATACCCACAACCCAGGCACGTTGGCGGGATGGCCCGAAGGCAAATCAATATCCGCCGCTCTCAATTGGCTTGCCACAGGGGTGAATGGCGTGCCAAATCCTATGCTCGGTTGGGTTTTGGTTCTCTTCCACGAGAAATCCCACTGGGGCTTCGGCCCAACGCACTGGCCACCCGGAAGGCACCGCAAACAACCTCAACGCTCAGAAACCATTCCCCAAGACAGCTCCGAAGGGCCTCCAAGAGGACAAGATGGCCTCCAAGTTCGCCCAAGATGTTCCAAGATGGCCTCCAAGACGACACAAGAGGGTCCAACAGACCTGCAAGTCCGCCCCAAATCCCTCCAAGACGGGCCAAGACGGCCCAATAGGCCCCCAAGAGGCCTCCAAGACAGCCCGAGAGGTATCCAAGAGGTCTTCCAGGAGAGCCCAGAGAGGGCCAAATCATTGATTTTCCTTTGGTTGTTGATGGGTTTGGGCATTTGCACGTTTTCGGCATTCCAACGGCCCGAGACGGCCCAAGAGCCCCCAAAGATCGCCCCCAAATACCCAAAAATGGCCCCAGAGGCATCCAAGACGCCCAAGATGGCCTCCAATACGGCCCTGGAGCACCCCAGGAGGGCCCAAAGTCGGCCCAGAGATGCCCCCAAGACGGCTTCCGTCGGCGTCAGACGGGCCAGGAGGCCACCAAGACGACCCAAGACGGCCCAAGACGGCTTACGAGGCCCACAAGAGGTTTCCACGAGGGCCTCCAGAAGGACCGAAAGGCCCAATTCATTAATTTTCCGTGGCCGTTTGAAGGATGTTGACATTTGCCTCTTTTCAGCCTCCTGACGGCCCGAGACGGCCCAAGAGCCACCAAAGATCGCACCAAGTTCGCCCAAGAGGCCTCCCCAAGTCGGCCCCAAGAGGGCACCAAAGCGGCCCAGAAGGCCTCCAAGGCGCCCAAAATGGCCTCCAATACCGCCCCGGAGTACCGCAAGAGGGCCCCATGTCGGCCCAGAGAGGCCTCCAAGACGGCTTCCGATGGCGCCCGACGGGCCAGGAATGCGCTAGGACGACCAAAGAGGCCCCACGAAGCCCCCAGAGACTCCCAAGATCCCTCCAAGAGGCTCCCAGGAACTCCCAGGAGGCCACAAGAGTACCCCCAGAGGCTCCCAGAGGCTCCCTCCTCCTCCCCCTCCTCCACAATTATTCAATATGAATGCTACTCTCCCTCTTCCCCTGATGAAGGTTTGAAAGTGCTCGACCCCCCCCCGCGTACTGTTTTCTTACACACAGGTTTCCCCGGAGTTGGGTTTTCGCCTGCATGTTTTTCAAGTTGCTGCTCTCGCTGAGGCGCCGGCCTCATGTTCGGGCCCCGCTCGTTCCGAATCGTGCTCCCGCTGCAGCGCTTGCCTCATTTCTGTGTTTCCGCTCATTCCGAATCGTGCTCCCGCTGCAGCGCTGGCCTCATTTCCGCGCTTCCGCTCGTTTCGACTCGTGCTCCCGCTGCAGCGCTGGCGTCATTTCCCGTGCCATGCCACTGCATGCAATCAATGCTAGATTGATACTACGCTTTGCGGTGCTCTTCTACGCCATGCCATGCCGTGCTCAACAATGCATCGCGTACCCTTTCGGGATCATTGCCCTGCTCGACATCCGACTGTGCGAGTAGAGAGGGGATCTACGCCATGGTAAGGGATGGGAGGGAGGGGTAGGATGTCAGATATGACGCGAGCGCACCTAGCGTGTCCTCCACCTCCTCCTCCTCCTCCTCCTCCTCCTCCTCCTCCTCTTTCTCCTCCTTCACCTAGATACTCCCCGCCATCATCCCCAAAATATTCCCCGAAAGGTTTCCACAACGGCTGGGGGAACACAAGGTCCGATAGCTTGGCAGAGCTTTTGCCACAATGCTCAGCCACATGGGCACATGGGCGACTCCAAAAGAAAGGGGACGGCGGTGATTCGCCGTAGGCGTCTTCGATCGGGGGTGGGCGACGCGCGGGAGAAGAGTGCTCAAGGCGTGGAGGAGGGTGGAGGGAGTGCAGAGGGGATGGGTGGGAGGGGATGGGATGGCAGGGCAGAGAGGGGGGGGCATGAGACGGCAGTGAAGGGGGCACTGGGCGAACGAAACTCGAGGGACCCACGAACCCCGTAAGACATGTTAGTACATCTGTTTTCTGGCACGCGTGCTACACTTTCGTTCTTCTGGAATGCCACCCTTACCTCTTGCCCTTCCTCCTCCTCCTCCTCCTCCTCGTCCTCCTCCTCCTCCTCCTCCTCCTCCTCCTCCCCCTCCCAAGTTAGCAAGTCTACCGGTATCAGCATCATCATCATCATCATCATCATCATCATCATCATCACCATCATCATCACCATCATCATCATGCCTGCTGACGATCTTTGTCGCTCGTCCGCCCTCCTCCTCTCATTTGTCGTCCGTCTCGTTGCCTGCCTCGTCCTGTTCATCCTCCCCCTCCTCCTCCTCCTCCTCCTCCTCCTCCTCCTCCTCCTCCTCCTCCTCGCGATCCTCCTCCCGTTCCCCTCTCTCTCTCGTTCTCTCTCTCGCCGATGGTCCCCTTCTTCGCTCTCCCGCCCTCGCCCCCTCCCGTCTTCCTCGCCGTCCCGGGCGCGGCGGCCCCAGCGCCCCGCGCGGCACCGCCCCGCGGAGCAGGCGCTGCAGGCGCGCTGCCGGCGGCGAGAGACCCGCCCCGTGCCCTTCTCGCGCCTCCGCACCGGAGGTGTGGAGAGGGCAGCCAGTGCTGGCCATCGCTCGGACGTCCATTCCCTGTGTTTTTGTTTGATTTCGCGCGTGGGTTTTTCGCCAAATGATCAAGGATGCTCCTCGATGGTCCTCGCCGAAGGCAAAATGCACACGTCCGAGCGATGCCAAGAATGTTGCAAAACGACCCACGGCCACGATGGCGCAGTCATCCAAATGGTGCCCGCGGGCCCCACTCGTCGGCCACAGAACTTCCATGGGCGGGGGGAGCACTGCATGCAGACGCTGCGCTGTTCTGGTTCAGTGTTGCGGGCTGTGGCAGCTCCTGCCTGATGGACAGACGGGTGGAGCGGTGGAACCACGCTGGCGCGGTCCCGCTGCAAGAAGATCGCAAGTCTATCAACGCGGCGTCCCCAGCTAATCCATCACGAGACGAACCTGCATTGCTCGTCCACCAGTGGTCTCGTCATCGAGCGGTGGCCGCGCTTGCCCGTGGCCTCACATAGCATCACCGCGCGGCGCAGGCCGTCGAGATCAGCGCCAGCCCGAGGCGCCTGCCAGTCCTCGTAGTGGATCCACTGCGACCGCCATGGTGGCAGGGCCAAAATGTGGCGGATGCCAGTGTCCTCCCCCTATTCCTCCGCCCCATTCCTCCTCCTCCTGCTCCTCCGCCCCATTCCTTCTCCTGCTCCTCCTCCTCCTCCTGCTCCTCCTCCTCCTCTGACGGCGAGGTTTAGCACAGGTTTTCACATGTGAAGAATCCGCCGACCAGAGAGGTTGCGTCCCCACCCTGGCGGGCCCGTTGTGGCGAGACATACGAAACCACATGCCAAACGCATGCACGCCCAGACGCCTGTTGGAGACTCCCCCCGTCCGCGCATGTATGTCTTAGTCTCCGATGGCTGCCGACTGGATGATTGGACCCCCCCTGGGTGGCCGCTGGGGCAAGAAACGCTGCTAGAGACGCCCCTCCGCACACGTATTTTTACGAGACGCTGCTCGACACACCCTTCTGGTACAGGGCCAACAAGTCCCACCAACACAAGCAGAACCCTGGGCCAGAGCCCTTTTATGTGGAAAGTTCGTGTGCGAAGGGGGGGGAACCCAACACGCGCCTGGCGCGTGGGCGCGGGGCACGTTGTTTCGCGTGCCCGTGGCCCCCCGGGGGGAGCCCAACTTCTAGTCAGCGGATTCGCTACGTACACGTAAGAATCGTGCGCGACACGTAAATCATACATGCGCGAGGGGGGGGACCCAACACGCACATGCCGCGCGCGCATGCAGTTGCACATGTAGAGAATCCGCCGAATCGAAATTGCGTCCCCCCCTGAGCGCCGTGGACCCCCTCCGCGAACGTATACGAGCCAACCGACTACAAACTGTGTCCCCCCCTGGAGGCCGTGACATGTGAAAACACGTGCCCCGCGCGCACGGGTCGACGAGCAAGGCGTATGTTGACTTCCACCCTCCTCCGCGCACAGATTTACGTACAGGATCCGACGACTAGACATTGGGCGGTTCCCCCTCCCCTGAGGGGCCGTGGTGGCAAGAAAATCACTGAAAACACATGTCGAACGCATGCACGCCGAGACGCACGCTGGAGACTCTCCCCCCCCGCATACGTACCCACGCCAGACGTGGCGGCGAGGGCCCCCCCCAGGAGGCCGACAGAAAGCCAAAGCGAGGGAAGGCTAGCGGTATCGGTGCCTCCTCCGAGGGTGGACGAAGGGGGAGGAAGGGATGGACGGACGAGAGGCCGAGTCTGGGAGCGCGGGCAGCGGTCGATGAAGGAGGCCCAGTCCAAGCGCCCCTGAAGGCAGGTGGACAGCCTTGCCGGGCCGAGTCGAACTGCGAATTGAGCCCTGGCCTCGGCGTCGGCCTTGACCTTCTCGGGGTCCAGGCCGCATGACTTCATGAAGGCTGGCCAAATCTTGTCCGCCTCCGCGCCTCAGCGAGAGGCTCCGTAAAAAATCAAAGCGCTGAAGTTGCGGCGACGACGACGAGCATCGAGGAGACGTAAGACTCGATTTTGAATGACTCGACTTGCACTGACGGGGATGTCAGAAAAATGACGAGACCCCGTCGGATCATTGACGCGAGCCCCCGCTGTAAACATCTCATGGAAATTGGACCGTCGAACTTCAGGATGGGCCCGTTAACAGAGTGTCGGCGACCCAGCGAACTCCATTCTCACGGTCTTACGGTTCCCCGAGAACGAGTTCGGTGCAAGAGCGAGCCGGCCGTGCAAGCATCAACAAAGGTCTGGCGGCACGGGTCTGGCGACGCACTTTTCGACCGAGCGGGTTTGGTGGCCGAGTCGCTGGGCCGAGCTGAGTGCGAACAAGCGGCCGCATAACCGGCGCAGGGATGGGCTCGTTGCATATCAGAGTGAGGGGGCCGAACGGTCATTCATTGTCCCTGGGTGCGTGGCTGAAGTGAGAAAATGTGATGAATATTATGTTCGTTGCGTTGTTGTGGTTGTTGTTGTTGTTGTTGGCGTTGATGTTGTTGTTGTTGTTGTTGGTGTTGTTAGTGTTGTTGTTGGTGCTGCTGTTGTTGTTGGTTGTTGTTGTACTTGCTGTTATGGTTGAACCATCATTTCTGATAACTAATTATTGTTTATCCCCCCTCACCGGTGCATGCTGTTTTTTGCTCAGTCAAAGCGTGCCCCTCGACACTCGCACCCTGTTTTTTGAAGGGAAAATCTTGATGCTCAAACTGTGCCCCCGGCCCCCCGGATCACATCAACAACGGCTCCCGCCTGAGATTTCCTCATGTTTACTCAAGACCCCCGCTCCCGCCTGAATTCCACACAATTTACGCAGGATCGGTGCTCCCACCTGCGAATTCCTCGCAATTTAGTCAGGACCCCCGTTCCCATTTGAGACTTCCTCAATGTACTCAAGAACGGCGCTCCCGCTTGAGACTTTCTCGCAATTGAATCAGGACTTCCTCGCAATTTAATCAAGACCCCCGCTCCCGCCAGAGAACCCCTCACATTTTGTTCAGGAGTTGCGCTCTCGCCTGTGACTTCCATGTGATGTATTCAGGAATCGCGCTTTCGACGCCCAGGAAACACGCTGCGCCAAGGACGCCGTCACAATTTACATAGGAATCGCGCTCTCGCCGTACTCAGGCATCCCGCTTGAATGTCCCACCCGCCCGACCCGCCCGTCAGGGGATCGCCCGCCCGTCGTGGGCTCCCGCCCGAGACTTCCTTTCTGGAACGGCGCTTCCGCCTAGGACTTCCTCAAACGTTCACGCTCTTACCTTCCTGCTCCTCCTCCCTCTCCCTCCTCCCTCCTCCCTCCTCTCCTCCATTCTCTCTCCCTCCTCTCTTCCCTCATCCTTATGCCTCTCTGCCCTCTCCCCTCTCCCTCCTGTCCCTCCTCCCTTCCCCCTCCCCTCTCCTGCCTCATCCCTCGCTCGTTCTTTTTCTCTCTCTCTCTCTCTTTCTCTTTCTCTCTCTCTCCCCCCTCTCTCTCTACCTCTCTTATCTGTCTCTCTCTCTCTCTCTCTCTCCCGCTCTCTCTCTCTCTCTCTCTCTTTCTCTCTCTCCCTCTCTCCGCCTCTAATCAACCGCCCCCCTCTTCGCTCCTTCTCTCCTGGCGGTGTCCCTCTTCCGTCGTCCCTCCGCCTCCCCTCCTCCCGCTCTCACTCGTTATCCTCCTCCTCTTTTTGCAGGGCCCACACCAATCCCAATGGCTGGCACATGTACGCCCACGAAGGATTGTCCGCCCTTTCAGGTTTGCCCGCCTGTCCAAGCCCGCCGCCCCCCGCAAAGAGAAACAATCCCTCAGAGGGGGTGTGATCGAAGACAAAAAGGGCGGGTATTGAGGGTGTGGGGAACTCGTTTTGAATGACACGCGGGCGAGGAAGACCGAACAATAATATAATGACTGTTGTTGTTGATGCCGATGTTGTTGTTGATGTTGTTGCTGGTGTTTGTTGTCGTCGTTCTTCTCGCGACCCACCCGCGACCCACCTCGCGACCCACCCCGCGACCCACTCCGCGACCCACCCCGCGACCCACCGCGCAACCCAACCGCGACCCACCCCGCGACCCACCCGCGACCCACCCCGCGACCCACCCGCGACCCACCCTGCGACCCACCCGCGACCCACCCCGCGACCCACCCCGCGACCCACCCTGCGACCCACCCGCGACCCCCCGCGACCCACCCGCGACCCAACCGCGACCCACCCGCGACCCACTTGCGACCACCCCGCGACCCACCCGCGACCCACCCGTGACCGATCCGCATTGGTTTGAAGAAAAAATGGGCGCATGCGGCGGGCTCGTTGTATAACTTGTGAAACGTTGGCGCCTGCGGCGGGCTTCTCCAGAGTCTCGCAGACTGCCGACGTCCCCACCGCCCCCTCACTCTTATCCACACCTGCGGGGTGCTACGTATCCAAACTTATTGGACGCTTGAGCGTCTATGCCTTGACTTCTTTCGCCGAGCTCCTTAGCTCTGTGGTCGACAAAGCGACGTGGTACACACATCGGGCCCATCCGAGCTATGTCAAGAGATGCTCTCTTCCACACGCACACACACACTTATAGAACAAACCTCTTGCGGTCGCCACGTACGTATTATCCAGTTTGAATGTCAGTCTTACCAGCGCTACAGAAAACTCGTGTCAGGCGCCGCACGGGGGAGCCCATTCTGTCAAAGTCTTGCCATCAGAGACATTCGATAGAAGACTGCCCCCATGATCTGCCCGAGCTGCGCCCACATTTGTAACGAGCGCCCAATCAACAGACCTGAAAACAGGCCTGCCTAAAGGAATCCTGAACCTCTTCCGAACTCGAAGGGGTCCTTGTACCCAGCATCTTGACTGTACTGATCAGGCGCGCTGAAATCACCCTTCCCACCCCGCCCACCGTTCCCCCTGCTCCAAAATCCCACTGTAACCTTCTTCGGGTGGTCAAGGAGATGAACAAATGTAAGAGTCCCTACATCAAAACGCTGGTTCGGAATTCGGCACCTATTTGGCCATATTCAACGGGCTCTTGAAATTGTGACGGGGGCACGGTTGGATGCCTCAATTGCTCGCGCGCTGAACGCACGATCCCGGCTGTTCATGCTCCTTGATCAAACGACTCGACCATCCTGACGAGCCCAGACATGTCGCCTCCCCAAGGATATTGCAATGTACATTCCCCAATCTGTGCTTGCACTGAAGGGGTCCTAGCGGATATTCCCCAATCAGTGCTTGCACTGAAGGGGTCCTAGCGGAGGTTGAAAGATTTGGCGAAAATTTCCCGCCGATTTCGGTTGCAGGCTGCATTCCCGGGTTCCCAGTTTCGGGTTCCCAGATTCCCGGTTCCGGGCCGATTTCGGTGGGCGGCGGGGTTCCCGGGTTCCCGGGTTCCTGGTCGACCTTCTTAGCGATCGGTCTCACCATCGATCACACCTCTGTGTTCCTGGTCGATCTCCTTATCGATTTCTTTATCGATCCCACGATTTATCAACCCATCCACTGATTGGGGTTTTCTTTAGTGTGATACGCTTCTGCCTCAGCGCTCATTTGCCATAACGATCCCCCCCTCCGTATCCCTGTGAGAAAACACTATGCGCGCACGCTCGTGCAGCTTAAAGCACAGGCTGCACAGGCTGCTTCAATAACTCAAAATCTGGACGCGCGCACACATATGCCGAAACCATGCCAGGCACATGTGCGATGTCAGCCATAACCCAACAGAACCCGTCCGTTTGCAGTGCAACTATACCAGGTCTTCTGCCCACGCGCGGTTGCTGAAGCAATCTTGTCCAACACCTGCTTCTCCATCTCACCACGCGGCGCATTCACGTTGGTCCCGCACACGCCCAGTGCACGGATCCGTATCAAGTAATACCATGCGGGCCACATGCGCGTGCCGCTACGAGCGCGTGACGACATCCTTCCAAAACCATTTGTGCTCGAAGCATGTTGAAGTAGAGCTGCTGAGAGCATACGAACATACACTAGCAAAATACCCAGCCATATGCAAGCGTGAGTACCGCAAGGCAGGTGGGACGAAGCAGTGGGGGATTCACTGTGGCGCCACGAAACATGCAAGGAGTGTGCCGAAGTGTGCGGGGGGACGCATGCGATCCTTGCCGCAGGAGCCTTCGGTGGACCTCCCTGATGGGGCCAGGAAGCGTGTGAGAGGGGGCGCCGGAATGGGCGGGGAGACGCATGCGAACTCTGCCTCACAAGCCTTCGGTGGAGCTCCCTAGCTGTAGGGCCAGAAGCGTGTGAAAGGTGCGCCGAAATTGGCGGCGGGACGCGCGCGACTTCTGACTACCTACCAGACCACCCCAACCCAACCCGAAGACCCGGATTTCGGGTTGGGGGGGGGTATGGGTTCCATACGTGTTTTTTCGATGTTCCCCGACCCCCCCCCAACTGGAAATGGAGGGCTAATTGAGGCCTTCGGGTTGGGTTGGGGTGGTTTGGTGGGTGGTGAACTTCTGCCACTGGGGCCTTCGGTGTAGCTGATTTTCGGGCGTTCACACCTGCGAGGGGCGTGACGAAGTGGGCGGGGAGACACACGCGAACCCCGGCAGAGGATGGGGGGGGGATTTGGAGGTCGTCTCCATGCACTCTGAGGCCTCCACAGGAGAGAAGGAGCTGGGAGATCGAAAAGGTACCGATACCGCTACACCCTGCGAAATGCTTAAGAAATCATGGGTTAAGACATTCATAGTCTCAGAACTTGAACAAAAACCCAAGATTTCTATCAAAATCTTAAGATTTACATTGAAACGTTAAGAGTAATCGAGACTCTGGCCGAAAACTTAAGTTTTCTTAAGCATCGCCTGAGGTGTACTCCCCGGGCCCATCTCAGGGTGCTCTCTGACCAGAGTATAAAACAGAATCCAGCGGCGTCGGCGAAGACTCTCCAGGACCAGCAGCGGTATTGTCATGAACGGCGCTGCCTCACAGTACCGTCGGACCTGGCTCATGGCACGCTACTGACCGCCTGACTTAGCACTAACGATCTCTGCAATCGCGCCAAGGGGAACGAAAGATAAGAAGCGAACCATTCGAAGGTCATTAGTGGGCCATTACTGTGCTGCAGTAGTGCGTCAAAGATCATTAGCAGGTCACCAGTGAGCCCTTAGTGGGTGGGTCGATCGCATTATTGGGCCAATGGTGGGCCAAATTCAGTAGCAGGCCATGAGCGGGGCCATTCGCGGGACGTTGGCGGGCCATCGTGTGGAATGTGTGGGCCATTAGTGGGGCGAGAAGAATCCGTCGACCCTGTCGGCGTGTGCGAAGGGTGTGTCGGTCCGAGTCCTCGTCTCCGTCAGGGGTCAGATAACCATCCCCCCGTGGGGGGCCCGGGGCTGCAACAGGTACCCAAAACAAGCCAAGAGTGCCCAAAGAGGCCCCCGAGACGGTCCAAGAGGGCCCCCAATCGCCAAACGATCGGTCCAAAACGCCTTCGCTCCTAGACTGCCCAGGAGACCTCCACGACGCCCCAAGAGGCTTCTTCCAAAGGCACTCCCGAGAGGGCCACAAGAGACAAACTGACATCAGTGATTTCCTTCGGGTTTTGACAGACTTGGGCGTTCTCGCCTTTCCAACACGGCCGAGACGCTCAAAAGCATTCCAAGAGAACCCCGAGACAGCCCAAAACGCCACTCAGACGGCCCCAAAAAAAACCCAAGACGGCTCCAAGAGCGTGCCTTGACGCGGAACCCGAACGGACATTTCGAGCCCTCGGCCCCGAGAAGCTCCCAGGAGGCCCCAAGAGGTTCCCACGATGCCCCAAGAAGCCCACAAGAGGCGCCCACTACACCCGAAAAGGCCCCCAAGAGGCTCCCAAGAGACCCCAAAGTTCCTCCCCAGAGGCCCCTGAGAGCCTTCCCAAGAGACCTCGAGAAGCATCCCTCAGGACTCGGGCCAACGTCAGCGTCGTCGTCGTCGCCGCCACCGCCGCCATCGTCGTCGACGTCCCCCGTCAGGGTCGGCGGCACCGGCCGTAAGGCCTTCGCAGTAGAGGGGCGTTCCATCAGTACACGTCGTTCATTCTTAATCGTGCTCATTTCTAATTGTGCTCGTTTCTAATTGTTCCTGGCCCCCTAGTGGCCAGTAAGAGGCCCAGAATAGAAGACTTAGAAATAAAAGGATCTTGGCTCCCCAAGAAATCAAAGAACTTCCGAATAACTAGACATTAACAATGTGTAGCTGTGCGGGATCGGTGCGCTCTTCCCTCGGGGAGGAGGGGCATGGCAGCGGGGAGGCGGCAAGAGAAGAGGTCCACGGGCCGAGCGTGTCAGAAGCCTCGGCCCGACAGCCCGCAGGCTGAGCCGCTCCTCGGGGGCATGCTGCGGCCACAAGTGGACAGGCGCGTTCCACCACTCGCAAAGTAGCTACTCGCACATGGCCTCGATCCGCCGCGGGGGATCCACGATATAGATGACATCGAGGCGAACAAGCATGTCTCGAACGTTTGCGAGTAGGCACGTTGCCAGTAGTGGAGCGCGCGCTCGGTGACAAAGCTAGGGCCACGAACTTTATATACCGACGTTTTTTTTCCGACCCTGCGCTGAAATTCGCACAAGAACGCGGATACTGGCGTATACGGGATCCTGGTGTATACATGTTTCGTTGTTTCCCCGGGGAAGCAGGGGAAAAGTATACACCACACCACCCCGACGTCGTCCCCGGCCCTCAAAAAGTCTTGGGAGTGAAAAACTACCCGCCACTGGTGTAGATGTTCCAGTTTCCGAAAAGGGGCGCGGCCGACCCCGGGAGGCCCCGAGCCCCGGGCTGCCGCCGAGCCTGTCGTAGTTGGACATCATGCCGCTGTAGGTCTCCCAGGCGCCTGGGCCGGGGGTGCGCGGCTTGCGGCCCACGAAGCTGTGGTGCGGTGAAGCTGCTGCTGAGTCTGTTGCGCCGTGCGCGTTGCACTCACTTGCCATCGCTCGGACGTCCATTCCCCGTGCATTTCTCAATCTCGTGCGTGTATTGTTCGCTTGATGATCAAGAATGCTCCTCGATGGCCGTCGCCAAGAAAAAAGCACACGTCCGAGCGATGCCAAACTCAAGGATCGGTGGCAATCTACGGGTCGACCGCTGGGTGCCGCTTGAAGCAGGTCGTTCTCACGATCGGGTTCGCTGCTTGAACTACCTGGGTGGTCTGGCATAGCTGCTCGTCGCGCTCGACAGAGATGCTCATCATTCAAACGTCGTCCCTGGTCGGGTGAGGCACGAGCTTCGCTGTTCATACGTTGCCTACGTTTATGCGGGGATGATTGTTGCACGGCTTGGAGTCTGGAATACGTTCCTTTGAACAATGCGCCATGCTCGCATATTGTGTGGGTTTGCTTTGCTGTGGCAGCTGCAGGATCATTGCCTGGATCTACTGCGATGGGATGGTATGTCTCCAAAGTCGGTGCAGAAGAGTGATAAAACATCTAAGCAATTGCAATGCTCAATCTCGATGAGTTGGCGTTACGTGATTATCAATCGGTGCACGTTTCGTGGGCCACTTGTTCTATCCGTTCTCCTGCATGAGACCCCATGCTTGGGATCTGCTGCTGGTGATCTCCTATACGACCGGCAAACCCCATCAGCCCTTTAGGGCGTGAGTGGTTTAGCGAGTTCCCCTTTTCCCCGTCGGGGAAGGGTTTACCCCTCCCCCTACCCCCTTACCCCTGGGTCTGGACGGGGGGGGGCGGGTCGTTGGAGCGTCCAAGCTGGCCTCGGCGAGAAGGCCAAACTCACTGATGTTACCAAGGTTTTGGCCACACTTGGGCCTCGGGGGAGGGGGGCGGGGCGTAATTCAGTACGACCCGCCATCTCACCGATCTCCTCCAAAATTGCCCCAAGGTGGCATCCGAGGCCCCCGAGGGTCCGCAAGAGGCATCCAATCTGCCCGCAAGAGGCTCCAAAGAAACCCCCAAGAGGCCCCCCGGAGGCACCCAAGACGGCCTAACAGGACTCAGCGAGAAGGCGAACATCTGTGATTGTACCAAGGTGTTGATTACATGTGGGCCTCCTGGGGAGGAGGGGCCCTAACCTAAGGAGCCCCCCTCCTTTGATCGATCTCCTCCAAGATGGTCCCAAGATGGCCCTCGAGGCTGCCAAGGCTGCCCCGAGATGGCCCCAAGGGGTACCCAGGAAGGATGCCCCAAGAGGCCCCCAAGATGCCCCCAAAAAGCTCCCAAGAGACCCCCAAGAGGCTCCAAGAGGTCCCAAGAGGCCTCGGCGAGAAGGCTAAAATCACTGAATCTACTGAGGTTTTGGCCACATGTTAGTCTTCTTTTCTTGGGGCGGGGGGGGTAATCGCACGGCCCGCCCTTTGATCGATTTCCCCCAAGGTGGCCCCAAGATGGCCCCGAGGCTCCCAAGGCCCAAGAGATGCCCAGGATGCCCCAAGAGGCCCCCAAGACGTCCCCAAGATGCCTCCAAGAGGTTACCAAAGACTCCCAAGAGGCCCCAAGAGGCACCCAAAACGCCCCAAGACGGCCCCCAGGACTGCCGAGAAACCTCCCAAACGCCCCAAGATGACTCAAAAAGCTTTCAATATGCATCCGAGGAGGCTCCGAGAGGCATCATGAAGCCTTTGGACGTTATGCTCGCCCTCCTCCTCCTCCTCCTCCTCCTCCTCCTCCTCCTCCTCCTCCTCATCATCATCATTAACATCATCACCGCCATCAGCATCATCAACATCATCAGCATAATCCTCAGCATCATCATCAGCATCGTCATCATCAACAGCAGCATTCTCAGCAGCATCGTCACCATCATCACCACCAACACCATTATCATCATCATTAGCATCAGCATCCACATCATCATCATCAACATCATCATCATTTTCATCATCATCATCATCATCATCATCATCATCATCATCATCATCATCATCATCATCATCATAATCATCATCATCATCATCATCACCCGCATCATCACCCTCATCATCATGTTCAGCAGTATCATTATCATCATCATAATCATCATCATCATCATCATCATCAGCATCATCATCATCAGCCTGTTCCTCCTCTTTTCTCCTCCCTCCTCCTCCTCCTCTTCTGCATCCTCCTGCTCCTCCTGCTCATCCGATTCCTCATCCACGCTCCCTCTCTTGGGACATGACGTCCTACGCAGCCCAGGTACTCCACTCCGTGATCCACCACAGGTTCCGACAGACGGGACTGTAAGTTGACTGTTGCGACTGCAGAATCGCAAACCTTACCGGGTATAGACTTCGCACACGTGGGTTCTTCAGACTGGTGCAGATGTCCGTGAACTGTCCGCAACCTCGCAGGGCCCCATTCTGATGGTTTGAACTCCCAGTCCCCAAGGACCATCCAATTAATTCCCATGGCATGCAGCATGCCCGCATGTCGCACGACGCCCTCGATGATGAAGGCGCTGTCGGGTCCGAGGCCTTGACCGTCGAGAACATAGACGCTCGCGATGGTCAGCCCCTTGGCGACAATCCAATGTATGCGGGCAGCAGTGAAGCGCAACGCAGGCAAGCCAGCATGACCTATGCATGATGGGGCCTCAATGACCATCATGCCGGTAGTAGCTACCGCGCAGACACCCCCACTGGTCCCTCCGTCCTCGGTGAGCAACGCCTCTGCCCAGACTCCGTGATAGTCTAAGTCCAGCGCCTGCTTCCGCATCGGATGCAGACGATCGCCGCGTGCGTAGTGCTGCTGAACCGCAATGACCTTCCCAGGTGGCTCCTGAGCCAGGTAATCTACCAACGAACCCGCACCTGAGACATTGACCGTGGTTACGGCGCCCTTCGCCTCATCCAGCGATTCAGCGTCTCCTGTGTCATGGGTCTTGGCCTGGCCATCTAAGTGCTCGCCTTGCTCTGTAAATGAATCAGCCCTGGCCGCAGGTCGACTCGCCGCCATACCCCGCGCCGAAGGCGATGTCCCAATAGACGTTCCCTTCCCGAGATCCTCGGCCCCAGCGGGCACAGCCGCGCCGCCCTGTCCGCTGAGCCTTCCAAGGGGAAGGGCAGTGCCTGATGACGCGCCGCCAAGGTACAAACACGATGACCCAGTCATCGTTCCGCCCCCCCAGAGACCCTCGGTCTCAGCAGTCGCGCCAGGCAAGCCTTCCAAGGGGCGGGGCGATGCTCATTTAACCCGCGCCATCTCCCATAACCTGATTGATTGAAGTCGACCCAACCCGTCTCGAAGGCACTCTCAATTGCACTCCGACAGACTAGATAGCGCCACTGCAGTATCCGACGTCGTCTCTGCACACCTCGCCCGTAATCCCGCGCCAGTAGCAGTCGCAATGATGAGAAACCATACCAAAGACCGTACGATGCCCCACAGCGTTCGTGGCCCATGGCAGCTAGGCGCACGGCTTGTAGGCGCTGACCCTGCGATGCAACATGTCGGAAGCCGATCGCAACTTGGGACAATCCAGATTGAGGAAGTCCTCGCTCGGGGTGCCGATGTCCGCGAACAGCTGCTTGAGGTCACCTTCGGAGGCGCCTTGGAGCGAAGGTAGTGGCTCCAATTCAGGAACATCTTCCACATCATCTGGGGTAGAGCCAGCCGCGAGACCACTGTCCGCCGCTGCATCTGCGCCTGCGCCTGCGGCTGCCACCAACTGGAATGCCTCCTCTGTCTGCGCAATCTTGTCCAAGAGCTCGTCTTGCACATCGTGCCTCCTGAGTGTGGCCCCCAGCGTCTCGATGGAGAAGCTGCCCGCCACGGTCTGCGCCGGTTCTCCTCCAGAAGCTGGAGGCGGAATAAGCTTCCTGGCGAGCTCGAGGCGCTGACCTTCCAATTCCACCAACTGTAGCCGAAAGTGCGAAAGCGAAGCCTCCTCCTCGGCGGCCGTGGCTTCCAACTTTTTGATGGCGTCACGCGGCTGCTGCGCTGCTGCGTCCGCCCGCTGAATCTTCTGCCCCAGATGATAGATCTCGCGACTGACCTCTGCGAACTGCGCCCCGACGGGCCTCGGATCCCGTCGTTTCGCCACCACCGATTCACGATCAGCCGGGAGTTTGGTGCGGACGGCACCCAGCTCGAGCACCTGCTTGACCAGCTGCTCGGGCACCCTGTGCAACTTCTCGTCCAGAATACGTATCTGCTCGTCCACCTGAGCAGCCGATGGGTTGCCTGCCCCGTCAAGAGATGTAGCATCACCTCCGACTTTCATTGCGGCATCTCGTCCTGCGCCAGCATCCCGCCGGCGAAGCTGCGCCTGCAAGTCCGCCACCTGCTGCTCGAGCATGCGGTAGCGATCCTGCGCCCATGGCCCGGGCGGAGGCGATCCTGTCCGAACCGAATGCGTCGGCGACCCACCAACAGCTGCCTTCGCTCGTCCAAACACCAAGCCTTTGTGCAACTTACACTGCACACAATGGACACGCACACCGAAATGTATACAAAAAAACCCTTGTTCGGATCCCAGGAGTAAACGCAATCCTTGGAATACCAGTATTGACGATGCTCATCCTCTCCTTCACTCCCCATCGCGACGCCTGCGCATGCCGCCGAGGCCAAGAGGGTAGGACCACCGCCGACGCCGTTGGTGCGATGAGAGCAAAAGCAGTCGTGACAAAGGTGCCGGGCGGGCATGCGGTGGGGGCCGCGACCCCCCCTTGCCACTAAGACCAAGTCCCGGACAAATGGCTGCGGATTTGAGCCAAAATAGCTACGGAGCAACCTCCTCCTCCTCCTCCTCCTCCTCCTCCTCCTCCTCCTCCTTGGGTGGTCACCGCTGGGCAGAGGCGAGGCCGCGACAGGCTGCGGCGAAAACCCACAAGCGAGGTCGCGCCTCTGCGTCGCGTTCGGCGACGCTCGCCTCCCGCGCGCCGCGGTAGCTCGGGGGCAGGGATCGCGGGGCCCAGTGACGCTCAGAAGCCTGCGGCATGGGCCAAAGTTGGAGCCAAAGAGGCCACGAAGCCCAGGCAGATGCAGGATCTGCCCCTGCGAGTAGGATACCGTTGAAGGCGTGACTGCGGGCTTCCAAAGCACGCGAGGTGCGCAAATCGAGTGAGAGGTGGTCGGTGAACTCCAGGATTGCCCTGAGGCTCCTGTGATAACGATGCGAATTGACGAACATGTCGGCCTCGTGCTTGGTTGCTGCCAGTATGATGATTAGCGTTGATGATTATGCTGGGGATTCCCCTTGGCGGATCAGTGATTCGGTGGAACTGCGTGGCTACAGGATGGACCGACTGCTTGGGCTATGCTGGCGTCCTGAATAATCGCCCCGGCGTGCGTGTGAAAAGGCGGTTGCAACTGAATTCCGCACACATTACCAAACGATATGCTGATAAACATAACGATCGCTTGCCAGCACCTGGGACACGTTGAAAGTCTCGGCGCTGCTCGCGCTACCGAGCCGAATGCTTTGATTTGCGGTGAGGCACGGCTGCGGCACATTGCGACTTTTCAAGGGGCAATGTATGGCTGCATGTTGAGCTGCTGGCGGTATCTGCTTGTCCGCGTCGGCTGACCTGCGCCTATAGTCCAGGACTGGTGGCGCGGTCCGCGTCGTGCTTGCGTTTTCCATATTTACAGAACGTCAGTTTGATCACAATTTGGTTTTTGGAAACGGAGTCTTCTGGGAACGATCAGGCCTTGACGGCCACCATGCCTTGCGCAATTTGGGCCTGCCAAGCTGCCTGAAGAATGAGAAAACTGCATTCGCGTGAACATTCGGAGGTCTGCGCGGACCTCCTCGATTGGCACTGGACCCCCCTTCCAGGGGGCGGCATCGAAGGCGCCGCAGGAAGGGGGCTCAGCGCCGATCACAGAAATCCGCGAGGGGATTCGGGAGTTTGCGTTCACCGATGCGATGAACGCCAGCGCGTTTCTTGAAGCTGTCCGAAGAAGACCAGGCGACCCCCCCGACGGCACCCGCAACCCGATGCGAATCGGCCGCCCCGCGGTTGTCGCTCCCCCGGCGCTTTCGCCACGGCCCGTGAGCTCACGGCTCGCCGAGCCACCGAGACTGCACCGACGCCTGCCATAATCTCGCGAGCAATAACCTCGCCACCGCGCTGCGCTGTATCTAATGCGCGTGTGTGTATGTATGTGTGTGTGAGTGCGCTCTGGCCCTGCGCGCCCGGCTGCTGCTGCCCGTCCGTCTGCTCATCATCGAACTCTTCGGCATCTGAGCGTCCCTCCTTCCTCTCGGCCGTCCCCCTTTCCATCTTTGCTCGTCGACCAAGTCGCTAATTAGTTGGTGCCCCTTTTCTAGCTTCACGCTGGAGCAGATGTCGCCGCCTCGCCGCTGACAGAAAAGAGTGTGTGTGTGTGTTGTGTTGTGTTGTGTTGTGTTGAGTTGAGTTGAGTTGAGTTGAGTTGTGTTGTGTTGTATTGTATTGTATTGTATTGTATTGTATTGTATTGTATTGTATTGTATTGTATTGTATTGTATTGCATTGTATTGTATTGTATTGTATTGTTTTGTGTTGTGTTGTGTTGTGTTGTGGTGTGGTGTGTTGTGTTGTGTTGTGTTGTATTGTATTGTATTGTATTGTGGTGTGTTGTGTTGTGTTGTGTTGTGTTGTGTTGTGGTGTGTTGTGTTGTGTTGTGTTGTGTTGTGTTGTGTTGTGTTGTGTTGTGTTGTGTTGTGTTGTGTTGTGTTGTGTTGTGTTGTGTTGTGTTGTGGTGTGTGTGTGTGTGAGTGCGCGCGCGTTTGTGCAACCATCCCACCCAAAGAAGAGCATTCGCCAGGCGGAGGACCCGACCATGTGCGGCTGCGAGTACCGTAACACAGGTGGAACCTGAGGGATCGGGTCCAGCAAAGGGACTAGGGTGTGCGAATAACGGAGAGAGCGTGATCCACCGCCGCTTTACTGTGGAAAATTGCCAACCTTTTCCTCCGGAGCCCGGGGGTCGCCCCCCCCCCCCCCCCTCTCCGAAAATCCCCCCCCCCCCCCTGCTGGACCCCCCCCCTTCCCCCCGGCAAAACCCCCCCCCTCCCCTAACCCCTCCCCCCCCCCTCCCCTCGAAAACCGGGGGGGGTCACTACCGGTTCGAATCTGGAAAACCGGGGGGGGTCACTACCGGTTCGAACCCCCCCCCCCCCTCGAAAACCCGAGGGGGTCACTACCGGTTCGACCCCCCCCTCCCCACACGCACCGCCAGCAAACGACTCCCGGTCCCTACCACCGTCCGCATCACATCCCCCACTGTTGTTCCCAGCACCACTGTCCTCACCACCACTGTCCCCACTGGTTCCACCACCGTCCCTATACTGTCCCCACCAGTGCCCCCAACACTGTCGCACTGTCCCCACTGTCCCCGCCACTGTTCCCACCACGGTTCCACTCTCCCCACTGTGTCCACGGCCCCAACCACTGCCCGACTATCCCCACTGTCCCCACTGTCCCACTGACTCCTCCGCTGTCCCACTGAGCTGTCCCACTGTTCCCACCACTGTCCCCACTGTCCCCACCACTGTCCCCACTGTCCCTCTGTCCCATTGTCACACCGCCGACCTCGCCACCGCCTTCACCACTGTCCCCACCACCATTGTACCCTCCACTGTCCCACTGTTCCCACCTGATTCCCACTGTCCCCACACCACTGTCCCCACCACCACCGTCTCCACCACTGTCCACTGTCCCCCCTTTTCCCACCATTGTCCCCACCACTGTCCCCACCACTACCGTCCCCACCACTGTCCCGCTGTCCCACTGTCCCCACCCACCACTGTCCCGCTGTCCCCTCACCACTGTCCCCACCAACACCGTCCCCACCACTGTCCGCACCCCCACTCGGTTTTCGAGGGGGGGGGGGAGGGGTTCGAACCGGCAGTAACCCCCCCTGGTTTTCGAGGGGGGGGGGGGGTTGAACCCGTAGTGACCCCCCCCCTTTTCATGATGAACTGGGGGGGGGGGAGGGGTTCGAACCGGTAGTGACCCCCCCGTGGTTTTCCGGAGGGGGGGGGGAGGGGTTCGAACCGGAAGTGACCCCCCTCGGTTTTCCGCCAGCAGCGGTAGAACACGCTCTTTCGAATAACGGAACAACGTTGCTGATGTGGTCGCAGAGGTCGGCCGCAGCGAATTACACCTGGATGTAACCCGTCACGACTGATTTGCGCGTCTGTCGGCGCGGCCCCGGGTGGCAGCATTCGGCGTGGCCTGCGGTGGAGCTCCACATGGGGCAACGAAACGTGTGAGGAGTGTGCCGAAATGGACGCGGTCGCGTAGGCGAGTCTTGTCCATGGGGCCTTTGGCGAACCATGACATGTGTGGCCTCAGGTGGACCTCCCGATGGGGCAACGAAACGTGTGAGGGGTGCGCCAAAATGTTGTGGAGAAGGCATGCGAACTAGGATGTTTGGCCTTGGGTGGGGATCCCTAGGGGGCCACCAAGTGTGAGATGTGTACCAAAATGGCGTGGAGAAGGTACTCGGTCCATGACATGTGGGGCCTTAGGTGGAGCTCCCTATAGGGCCACGAAACGTGTGAGGGCTGTGACATGCGGAGGAGGCAGAAGCGGGAGGAAGAAGGGGGAGGAGGAGTGAGTGCGTGAGTGAGACGTAGGCGATGTCACTTCAAAACGAGGACCCAACACCACAGGATGGTTGGGGAAACCCGCATAAACCTAAACCTTCGGAGCTGAACTCGGATTTCTTGGATCGGCGAGGGATCATCCCTGGCGCGCGGAGCGCGCCAGGGGAGGCGCCAGAGGCGCCGCGCAGATCCAAGAGATCCGCGGGGGATTCCAGAATTTGTAGCTTATGCCGTTTTCTTTCCTCGAGGCGTGTGCCCATCTCACGCATCATCACCATCATCCACCTCGCGCATCCGTCTGTGCTCTCCTGCTTCCCACCTTTTCCCCACGGCGCTTTGAGCAGGGACCGACCGTCCCGGCATTTCTATAGTCCTACCACGAAATGTTCTTAGAACCCAAGAAAATGTTCCCAGAACAAAGACAATGTTCTTAGAGCATAAACCTGATATGTTAAAACGAGACAGTCCCAGCCATAATGCTCTAACAACATTTCGCGCAGACCACAAAAGGTTCTTAGAACATTCTTTGGTGGGACTATAGGCGAGCCAAGACGCTTCGCCAATGCTTGAGCGCTGTGGTCTCGCCACCGCTCCGACCCAAGCACCGGCCCAACACCTTGCCGACCAGGTTCCGTGGAAAAGCGTGTGCGCGTGTGTGCAGTCGGGTGCTTCTCCATGCACGCCCGCTCGCCTCGCGCTGTGCCCCACAGACCTGCAACGCCCGGCGGAATTCACGATGGCTCGTGCCCCATGCTGA